TTTTTTTTTTTTTTCTTTTTTCTTTTTTTAAAAAGAGAAGTAAACAAACAACAAACCAAAAACAAAGAAGAAAAATAAAAAATACACACACACATACAGAGAGAAAGATCATCATTTTGCCAATTTCTATAATTACAACAACAAAAAAAAAAAAAAAAAAAAACGAAGGCAAGAAAGAAAGGGCGGTTATTTGTGAGAAACCCACAAAGCAGAAATGTTAAATAATAAAAATTGCAATAAGTGAAGGTAAAAAAGGGTGGTGAGAAGAAAAAAAAAAAGAAAAAGTTGCTTGGGATCTTTTTCACCTCTTGGCTTTAATGCCGCCGTCTTATCATTTCCATTGAAGCATAAACCACCACTCTTCACCTCACGTGGCAATGGCAGGGAATTGTCCCTGAACCCCTCATTTCTGTGTAAACAAATGAACAAACATAAATATATTTCCCCTCATCTTCTCCAGTACACTTCTAATCCTGCACGATACGCTCGTCTCCAACACCACCACCGCTGTTACAATTTAACGCGAGAGTCAGAGGACCCCTGCCATTCTAAAGTAACTGGTTTCCGGCCTGAAAGGATGTTTGAAGCAGTCACGCCAGCTGGGCACTGAAATAAAAATGGGTTCGTGCTCTTCTGCTGGATACTCAATGACGACTGGGACGTCTCACACGGCAAGAAACCAAAGCAGACAAACAAATAAAGAAAAAAACTCAAAAAAAACCATACATATAATATAATATAATACATGTATAGAAACCAGCTTCCTCTTAGAGCAGACATGCAAGTGGAAGCGGTGGGAATGGCGAAGTTCCGTAGGCGCAAACATTTCCACAAAATACCCACGCAACGGAACGGCCACACACACAAAACAACAACAACAAAAAAAAAAAAAGCGCACAGCATGACAAGCACGCAAAAACTCCCAGCCAAAGCATGTAATGTCCGCCGTTCACTCACAAACAACAGCTGCGGAAGCCACGGGGGAAAAAAAGATATGAACGGAAACCAAAAATCATACCTTTTCTTCGCATCCATAAAAAATAACACACACGCCAAGCGCAAACACAAAAACACACAACAAACAAACAAACAAAAAAAAAATAAATAAATAATTAAAAACGCCCCGTTAAATAATTAAAAAGAAAACAGGAAAACAAACAAACAAACATCTCACCATGTTGGGTAAATACCGGGCTCGAATAGCACCGGCTGGAGACTGTAGGAGTGACACGCGCGCGCATATTTGTTGCTCCTCGTTGAGGACGGCGCAGTGTGCACAGAGTCGATGGTAGCCACCTGTCGTGCCGCGGTGGACCGTTAAAAGCTTGGGGCGTAATACAACAACAACAAGAAAAAAAAAAAAAAAAGGGATGTGAAAGCAAAGGAAACCATAATTAATGGAAATGGGCACAAAAAAAAACAAAAAAAAAAACTACCCAAAGTCTTTTTTTTATGTCAATTTATTTCTTTTCTTTTTCACTCTATCTCTCCGTGTAGAACAAATACTCATCATACGTTTCTTTTCCGTATTTCTCTGGTTCGGGTACATCAAACACGAGGTGTCAGAAACCTCCTCCTCATAACTCTTTCTCCTGGTACAATAAAAAGAAAACAAGAGGGCGCAAACACACACACAAAAAAAAATAAAAATAAAATAATACCCCACACGCCAAAAAACAAACAATCAGTTTTTTTTTTTTTTTTTTCTTCTTCCTTTTAAGGTGGGTATTCTAGAGATGCGTGTGCATGAACACCCACGCCCATTGACTGCAGTGTCTTAAAAAAAAAAAAACATTCTCCCCATTATGAAACAGCGCGCACCCAAAGTCTGCGTATTTATGCAATCAGGCATGCACCGAATAAAGCACGCGTCCATATAAATAAATATAAACATATAAATGTATGTAGATGTAGATATGTGTTCACGCGCACAGACATGATGTTTAACTGAACAAGGAATGGCAAATCAACAACAACAACAACAACAAAAACAAAAACAAAGAAAAAAAGAAGAGGAGGCGTGGGCCTACCATCCCTCCCCTATTTAAGTATGTAAATGCAATAAATTCTCTTTTGTATATGCGTACAATTCTAATTCATTTGTGTTTCCTCTCTCTCCCTCCCTCTCTCTCTCTGTCTGTCTGTCTGTGTCTTCTTCTCTTTCACAAATAAACCTCTTCTCTGCACGCATATCCGTTTCTGTCATATGAGAATTAGAAACTCAAAAAAAAAAAAAAAAAAAAAACAAACAATCCTCACATACAAACAAATAAAACACGCACACACAGAGAAGTAAAAGAAAAAACCGATCCATCCATCTATCCAAAAGGAGGTCCATAGAGGCGGTTGGAAAATTTGTAAGCAAAAGAAAGCGTAGTGCGTAAAAAATATATATATTAAACCCCCCCCAAAAAAAAGAAAAAAAAAAGAAAAAGAAAAAGGGAGTGGGAGTGGGTGACACTGCAGAGCGGGAAAAGTTAACAGAAAAATAATAGCCACACAGGAATACCTCTTGCCTCCTCCCCCGCGTTTCCCGTCAGTGGACAAACGAGAATCTAAACGTCCTGGAGATCACCCTTCCACCACTCCGGATGGTTGAGTATTTTATTCTGATGATCCCCAATTTATTTCCCCTCCCCCCCCTCTTTTGCCTTTCAAGCCACATTGTTTTTTTTTTTTTTTCCTTTTTCTCCTTCTGTCCCTTCTATGTCCGTGTTTTCTGACTCCGTTCTCCGCCTCGCCCCCAACAAATTACCAGCGGAGAACAAACGGGGGCCTGTCATAACTTTCTCCTTCCCGCAAACGTCGCTCTAATGCTTCCATGGGGTAGCGAAGTCGCACCTCGTGCCATTTATTCACTGCACTTATCAGTTCCTTGTACTCCGTCTCATCGGCGTTTTCGCAGACACGGTAACGTAAGAGGAGAGAACACCACTCCGCATCAATCGGGGTCCATTCAGGGGCTTTTTTCTGACGGCTTCTACCAATAGAACCCCCTCGAGGAAATGCCGCGCCGTTTGTTAACGACGCTGTGGTTGACGCGGCGGCTGCGTTTTTCCAGACACCAACCCTTTCTTCGTGTGAGTTTGGAACCGCTGCCCTGTCGCTGAGAACTGTGGCAAATATATTTCTCTCCGGTGTACAAAAAGGGGCTGTAGGGATGAACGCAGGGAAGGTATCGGCATCGCCACACTCATCCGGGAAAGGACGGTCATCTTGATGATGTTGAACTTTTCCTCGAACAAAACGACTCCCTTCTGCGTCAATGTCCCGTCGGTAGATAAAATTTCCCTCCGCCGTTACGCCCACGACTTCGTCATCCTCGTGGTGTGATAAAGCAGCATCATCGTCTACGTCATGGCTTTTTCGTTCTCTGTCGTCCATTTCCCAAGCAGCAACATTATCCGCAGAAGAATCCGTGGGGACACCACGGAACTGAACGTCGCTGTCGCTCATACCCCTCTCGGTACCTTGGCTTGGACCTGCCATGGCATCAAAAATAAAACAGGGAGCCTGCACGCCTTCAATTGTTTCCTCTTGTTTCTCCGTTTCAATCAACCCTTCCTGTCCGTCCTCTATACCCTGCTGCTGCTGCTGCTGCTGCTGCTGTGAATTCCAGTAGAAGTTCATAAAAGGGCAGTTTTTTAATTTCGTTGTGGTTTCCACCACGGATGAAACATGATTAACCTCGTCCCCAGAAGCCAACGAGGCCGAAGACCGTACCGAAGGAAATACAAGAGATTTTGCACGTCGGAAAAATTTAATTGGTGAGCCGTTAGCTGGCGTGGAGAGAAAAGAAGACATTGCATCATCGTCATACCCAATAGAAAGGCTGTTTTTTGGCGATGCTGCTGAGTTTGTTGTCCATGAAGAAGAGGCTTGTGGTTCCGGACTTTCATTAGCGGAACTCCGCATCTCTCTAAAAGCCAAAGCAGCATGTAGACGCATTACCGCAGGGTCCTGGTACCGTCTACGCGAAAGAAGAGCAATAGGCGGCTGCATGAAGCAGTTTCCCAGTTCATCACACAAATTATGTGAAACAACCGGCGGGAAGCTTGAACCACGATGCATACTTTCATCATGGCTCTCTGTTCTGTTGTTGTCACCGTTGTTTGCGCCATGGCCAAATGGACAAGAAGCAGCTGGGCAGTCCAAATGTATTGGTGACGCCGTGCTGAAAGCAGACGCCCTCTTCTCCATATTTGTCATCGTTCTCCCTGATGTATTTCTCTCAACGTTGAAAATGGGCACCAAGAAAGTCCCACACAATTACAAGCCCGAGCGAAAACACACGTACACACACACACACAATATATATATATATATATATATATATATGTATGTATATATAATAATCTGTAAGAAAAAAAAAAAAAAAAAAAAGACACAGCACGCAAGTTCTTTACGCCTCAGTGTACCAGAATATTTATAATATATGTTTTCTTTAAAATATTCGTTCCCCTCCTCTCCTAACTTCAAATGAGAGCGGGTGGTAAGGCGTGTCAAGGTGGGGGAGGTGTTGAGCTTTAACTGAACCAAGCACAATAATATATCTAAATTTAATCTGTAAGTGTAACAATTGCACCTGTTCAACCTCGCTCTCCTTTTCTTTCCTCCAATTTATTCCACCCAAACCGTTACAATTATATATGTATGTATGTATGTATGTATACTTGTCCCTGTGTGTATACAGTTGTAACGGCAAAATGGATGTCTTCCTTTTTCTTTCCCTTTTTTAGTTGCTGAGAGAGGGGTCCAGTCGGTGCTTTACGTTTCTTTTTTTTTTTTTTTTTTTTTGGTTTTTGTTTTTGTTAGTTCTTCAGACTTACACAAAAGTTTTCTTCTTCCTTTTCTTTTCGTTTAGCCTGAATTTCTATGAATGTAAATGCACCCTTTCGTTCTTTGGGAGGATTTGTTCTTTTTTGTTGTTGTTGTTGTCCTTCTTTGCGCTGCGTTGGTTTCTTTCCTGCCTTCTCCCCCACCACCCCGTTTGTTCTTCAGTTCTCCCTCCCTCGCCTACTAAAGAAGCCTTGACGCGTGTTATGTGTCTAGCGGGAGAAGTGGTGGAAAAAAAAAAAAAAGAAAAAAAAAAAGACATGCATGTGAAGCAGGCAGTCGTTGCATAATTTGCAACACTGACACAAGAGCAGGCAGAACAACAACTAACAATAAAAAAAAAAAAAAAAAAAAAAAAAACGACCGACTGTAAGCGTACCCACCCAGTTGCATTTCATGTGTCATTGAATTATAATTATCTCCTCTCGTCTGTGTTTTTTTCTTTTGCTGAAAAACAAACAAACAAACAAACACCGCACTCTACAACTAAAACCCGCTCATACACACTCACGCACACAGAAACAAGAAAATAAATCGGCATATCGACATATATATATATATATATATATATAGAAATATATAGAAATATATAATCTTCATTATGCCGGCTGTCCAAAATTCCGCAGACGCAAAAAGACACAAAATTTTCAAAAAAAAAAAAAAAAAAAAAAAACAACAACGCAAAATTACATATATAGTTTTTTTATATATAATAAATATTCCTTAAGGTTTTCTTTAATCTCCAATCACAAGTAGCTCTAGTGAGCAAACATCAAAGGCGTAGCTCAATGCCGAATCGTCCTTCGTTGCTCCTTCTGCTGCAACATCTGAGGACCACGACAGAAAAGATGACGAGGTGCTCCAATGTGTAAGTGGCGGGGCGTCAAACGTGGCACATGCTGCAGTGGAACCATGCGTTATTGTGTCGTTGAAGAAAATACTGCAACCACCGCCGCCTCCAATTGCAAGACTATGTGACATGGTGTTGATAAATTGTTGATTCCTTCCTGTGGCTCGATATATACGTAATTGTGGTGACACCGATTGGGAGGCGGCTGATGATAGTAGTAACTGAAAAACAAATGTCCCACTGTTACCGTAAAACCGGCGCGTCCCTGTGTGTAAAGGTTCTGATAAACATGCACCAATCACAAGTTTTGTCGGCCCATCCTCGTCACTTGTTGATGCCCTCCGGTTTGTTGTCATAAGTTCAATTACAAGAAGCATAGGCGATATCCTTCCATGCTCCCGTGACGCATCGGCTTCTCGTTGACTGCACGACAGCATAGCGTTGAAGCTAAATCCATGATGACGACTGCTGTAAATAAGTCTCCAGGGCATGAACTGCCATATACTCGGCAACTCTTCGTGAAGAAGTTGTCGTGAATTGGGTGTGAGGACACTCATGCAGTGGGTATTACTCTCAGCTGTCATCTCTTCGCCATTAGCAGCGGCGTTTTCTGCTGCCTCTTGTCCGCGTAGCAGATCATCCACAATTTGCCGTGTTGCCTGCAGTGCCTCTGCAGAACCCGAAGTAAAGGCTGAAAAATCAAAATGAATGGGCGGTGTATACGTTGGTGCTGGAGAATCCCACAACCGAGCAGCCGACCCCTCCGCTTCGCCCCTGTGTTCCTCCGCGACATTTTCACTGTTTTTCATGACATCGGCAGCTGGTGGAATTGAGTTCCTAGTAAAAATGGAGTCATGCAAAAATCCCTTCTCAAGATGTGCGGCCCTCTCCCCATGGTGCCCACTATCTGCACCGTCACGTCGCGGATCATCCCGCACCACGGACATGAACGTCCCACGCTCCAATGCTGCCAAAAGCTTAGAGGTACGGACACGACCTGCACTCAGGCTTTTCTCATGTTTCCATACAGACAGCCACTCGTCCCCGGCATGGCCGTTGAGCTCATTCATTAGCATCCTCGCAGAATTGTTGAGCTCTGGGATAACAATGTCAAGAAGTCCGTCACTGTCATCAGTGCTGCTATGCGGCATCAATGAAACTAATGACTGGGATTTGCTATATCGGCAGGCAATAACCAATAACCGCCATGCCAAATCTTCAGAACTCTTGCAGGAGCCATCAACCAACTCTTCTTCCGGTAATAACGGAAGCCCAACCCCATGCAAGGACGGAAAGCAAAGATCACCTGGCCCTTTTTCCGCCCGTAAATATTCCTTCACCTCAAAGCATTGTGGTAACAAAAGAATTGCACGCAGTTCGCTGCTCAAAAAAGAAGATTTTCTAGCGGTTTCGGTATCTTCACCCCCCTCCCATGAGCCACCCACACTTTTCATAATGAATCGAGCCGTATTCTGCATTCTATTCGCAAAAGAACTTGACCATGTCGAACGCTTCTCGACTGGCTTCATCCCATCCCCTACCGCCCCTCGATTTATCCCGTTTGGTTCTCCGGCTGCAAAAGCGCGCCGATAAAAATTGCTGCTGCGAAATCCCGAGGCAAATGCTTGCGTCATGCCAAGAACTTGCACCGTGAGCCACGAAGGTCCCAGGGAACTGTCGGAGTCATCATTTCTTACATTACTTTCGTCTTCATACCGAACATGCCAAGCGGGTGGAAATCCATGCTGTTCCAATTCTTCCACGCCCGACAGTTTCGCAGAGCTAAGAAAGCAGATTAGCTCATCGCACACCTGGTGCACTGCCATCTCAACTTCCATGGGCGAGGAGGACCCTGACGATACGGACGACTCCACGGTTACCATCACACGTTGGGTAAGATAGTACTCAACAACAAGCATCGCCACCGTTAATACCTCAGCTGTGGCATCTGTATGAGGCTGCCCTCTTTTGAAGTCACGCTCTTCCCAGTTTACACAGTCGCTTTGAGGCAACACACACTGCGCCTGCCACTGAAGGGCACTGTGAAGGTGTAAAAGAAGAAACAAGACATCCTGCGGCGTGGTGCAAAGAAGCAACACAGCACACAAATTGCGCAAACAGACAATGCGGCACAGAAGCGGATAAAGACGTGTCGACTCTTGATACTCTCCCCGAGGCCCTTTTAACTTGCCGCCCTCATCTACGTGTGCTGATTCAAAAGGGTCGGATCGGCCCACGTGTGCTTCCAATGAAGTCCTTTCGCCGTATTCCGTGAAACGATGCCGCGTCATTAAACCGCACACGCCATTAACGCCTTCTTTTTCAGTCCCCTTCTCCGTTGCACCCGCAAGGATAAAAAGCCGCTCCACGTCAATCTCACACAGCCACTGATGTGCCTCTTTCACACATCCCTTCTGCCACAAACAAAAAGCGGTGTTCCACACCAACGAGACAAACGTGAGGGAAATGAAGTACGGCGGCATCGGATTGCCACGTGCAAGAAAAAACTCTTTGGACAGTACATTGGGATGCATTTTAGACAATATCGAGGCAGCCCAAGGTGATGTCGCCCTTTCAGTCAGTTCGGAGGTCTTTATAAAGTGCAACAATGAAGAATCTCCTTCCCTGCGGTATTCCAGCGACAAAACTGTCATCAGCAACTCCTCCACGGTGTAGCATTTTGTGGCAAGCAGCTTCATCACTAATGCAAAATCATAGGCAGCCACAAAATAGTGTTTGCATGCAGCCGCGGAAAAAGCATTACGAAGGGACATTTTCATTAGCTGCAAGTCAGTCCAAATGGCGTTCGATTCTTCCCATGGAGTCCACAATTCAATGCCATGGTCTTCCTTCAACTTTGAGAGAACCGCAATTCCATTTTCCTCCTTTTCCGCGTCCTCCGGAAATGATGGAAATATATGGAGCGGATATTCAATTTTCATTCCTCCCGATTGATCTTCGTCTTGTTGATGGAGTTCCATCATGACATCACCTTCTCCTCGCAACGAATAAACTAGTTTCTTTTGAATTAGCACAGCGTTGTCAACAAGGTGTTGACCACGGTCTCTCAGCTCACTGAGAATCGTTGCTGCCGCCCTCACAAGGTAGTCAACAGCCGCTGACCCGGTCGCATCTATGCCATTCGTAGGCGCTCTCCCAGCCATCACTCCTCTGTCTCGTTTTGCCGCTATGAAACGAAAACACCTGAGAAGTCGCTCTTTTGCAAGTTGCATCTGTGCCAATACCTCGTCCCCATGGGAGAGAAGGTACATGACCCGAAAGTAACTGCTGTGAACAGATGTATCACAGACTGCCAGTGCATGTAACAACTCAACCTCGCTTCTCTCAATAGATTGCCACAAATGCAGCACCTTCTCGTCGTCCACAATGCATTTTCCAAATTCATCCACCACAGCGTTGATTTCATCCATGCCATCTTGACAGCGCTTGATACATCCCTCGAGGTGCCTCACATGCTGCATACGTCGTCCTCACCTTCGTGCGGCAGACGAATACTGTAAAG